TTAAGTTTTGAAATTACAAGAGAGTCAAGAGTTTTGATGATATTATATGTAGGGTGTTGTACTCTAAACAGTAAACTTCAAAAGTTTCTATTTTATATATCATAAAAGTTCTATTTTATATATCATAAAACACAGCTCAATAACTTTTTTTGATAACCAATCAGAGAACGTGTTTATTAAAATCCATTTTGTAAGATACGTTTAAATGGTATCACTCAGTAGGTACGTTCCTACATTTTTATATGGTTATTTATTTTCTTTCAATGTACCTATGAATGTATACTATCGTCAATATTGTGCTTTTAGGTTTTTTATTTTTATTTGACAGCATATCTTCCAAAAAATTATAAATAATTTCAGTTGCTTTGTAGTGTTAAAAATAATGAATTTATAATTCAAAAGATCTATAACCAAAGGCGTCAATATTTTATTAACGTGGCCTACAGACAGAAAAATTAAAAAATATTTTTAGATTATTTCAAATGAAAATGAAACCAATCGAATGCTTATAATTAATTTTAATTATTCCTACCATTAACTATAAAATATCTAGCAAAACTTTTAATTCAAATAATCATAATAATTAAAAAGCTTGAGACAAAAATGGTCCGTATTTGTATTTTGAAATAGTTAATCCTTGGTTTTATATATATATATATATATATATATATATATATATATATATATATATATATATATATATATATGTGACTCATTTGGAAAAAATATAAAACTGTTTTGGATGGGTTGGAGTCAATAAAAGGGGCTATTTGTTGACTATTCTTTACTCGAGCTTTCAATTGTGATTACAATTTATATCAAGAGCTTCTAAAAAATACAAAATATCTTACAAAGTTGAACTAGAAATAAAAAATTTTGTTGTTAACTCACCAAATAAAATTAGTTTTTTATATAAAGCTGCTGCTAACATTATTACAAAAAATATTATTAAAAAAATGCCCTATTCTAATAAATGTTTCTCTGAAATAAATTTTGATAAAGTGTCTTAACAAAAACAATTGAATTTGTAAACAAAAATTGAATAGCTACAATTCAGCCAAAATATCGTAAATACCAACTTAAAAATTTTTATTTTTGACATATTGTCAAAAATAAAATTTTGTTTAAAAAATTGTTTTTTGTTTATAACAAAAAAGAAGAAGATTTATTCACCATTGACAGATGCCTGAAAAAATGTAACAAATACAGGGAAAATTCAAAATGTGATATTTTACTGATAGGTAGCATATAAATTACATAGAAATAATATAATTATAAATTTTGCTTAGATTTTGAATTTCTGACCTTTTGTTTAAATTATTATCACTTTTGCTAATACCAACCATTTCCAAAAAAGTTCTTTTAAATTTATTACTTTCACTACATAAAATTCTAATATTATCAAAATCCATAATATGGTCTTTGTCTATCACATGCTCTGCCAAAGCACAAGATGGTTTCTTAATTCTGCAATCACTTTTGTGAGAAATAATGCGATTTGAGAGATTTCTTCCAGTCGCACCAATATACTCAGCTTCAGACTGAGTACAACCAATGCTGTATACTACATTTTTTGTTTGATCCAATTTGTCTATAGGATATTTAGTTTTGGAATATAAAGATGAAATGGTTTTGATGTTCTTTGTTGCTATTTTTATAATGTCAATAACCTTTAGTGTTTTTATTAATTTAGGAGTTAATGATGGTATAAAAGGTAGTGAATGATAATATATGTTCTGATTGTTGGATACAGTGTTTTGAGATTTAGCAAAAAAAGGTGTTAAGTTATTTATATTTAATAAATTAGAAAAAAGCATCCTATGTAGCATATCTGGAGGATAAGAGTTTTCAATTAAAATATTTTTTTAACACATGAAGATCTTCTTGTAGATAGTCTGGATGAGAAAGTTTTAAAACACGTTCCTTTAATCCTGTTATAAGGTTCATTTTCATCTTATTTAGATGATGAGAGTAATAGCTTATAAATCTATTACTACATATGGGTTTTCTGAACCATCTTGTTTTTAACATATTGTCTGTAATTCTTACAATTTTCATGTCAAGGAATGGTAGAGAATTATCTACCTCTTCTTCAACTGTAAATTGTATATGTTGATTATGATTGTTGAAAATATGGACTGTTTCAAGAATTCTGTGTTTAGGAAGTGCCAAAACTAGATCATCTACATATCTTTTGATAAATGGAACGAAAAAATTGCAATTATTGATACAATCACTAATAACATCATCCATGACATAGCTACTTAGAATGGGTGAAAGACTAGATCCCATAGGGCTACCAAAAATTTGTTTATAAAAAACACCATTAAATATAAAAATATTAGAATCAAAAACAAAGTTGATAAGTGTTTTAAAATGTAATAAGTCAATATTAGTATGTTGCGAAATCTCATTCTAATGTTTTTCAACACTACTTATGATTAAATTTAAAGGTAAATTGGTAAAAAGAGATGTTACATCAAAACTAACTAAAACATGGAAATTATTAATGAAAGAACTAAAATCAAATGAATCTTTTATGTAAAAATTGTTGTTTAAATTATAAGCATTGGTTAAGATGTCAGTGAGGAGCTGTGCTATTGGTCCATTTGGAGGGCATAGAGATGAAACAATTGGTCTCATAGATAAAGTTGGTTTATGTATTTTAGGTAGAGCATAAAACCGTAGTGCAATAGAATTATAAATTTTGAGTTCTTTTGCTTTTTTATTATCAATAAATTTCTTACTGTTTAATTTTGATACTAGACAATTTGCTTTTTGTTGTAAAGTACAAACAGGACTCCTTCTAAGTGTAGTGTAATACTTAGTATCATTTAAGGGTTCTCCAGTTTTTTGTAGGTAATCCTCTTTATACATTACAACAGTTACGTTACCTTTATCGCTTTTGACAATAAAAACGTCAGGATGGTTTTTAAGAAAAAGTTTAGTTTGTAAATAGTATTTATTCAAAAAATGATCTTTGACTTCTTCATGTAAAAAGTTGTTAATGACGTTTGTACATTTAGATCTAACAACATCCTTTTGATTGTCATTAAGTGGTCTGATTGATTTATAGGAACTCTAATATATGTGTATATATATATATATATATATATATATTATATATATATATATATATATATTATTGTGATATTTCAAGTCTTGGTGCGCCAAGCAATTAATTAGTGAATTAATTAATTAATTAATTAATTAAAATTATTTAAATGATATGATAATGACTCTATCACACTTTTTAATTCTCTCAGCTCAGGATTAAATTTGTGCTTCAATATCTATGCTATTACATGTGAAAGGTAAGGTCCAAGAATACCGGAATAATAAAAAACACATATGATATAACACTATATATTGCAATAAAATTAATGAAATAATTCACACTCAAATGTTTTCAATAAACAAAAATCTCATATAATGATTCTCAAAATTTTGTTCTACGTACGTGAACCTTCAAAATTAATGGTACAAACAATATTAATTGAAATCTCAAAATCCCAAATTATTCTAACTCTCCTAATCAAAATATTTATATCCTTTCTAAATTAAGTGTAAAAATTGTGTTATCAATAAAAGAAAAACTGCAGAAAACGAAAATATCTCTCTCTGATGATGAGTGGTCCAAATCCTTGTTCCTTGTAGACTAGATTATCTACTCTCAGGCGCTCCCTAGGTAATCAGCAATCTTATAACAAATTGTTGCAAGTATATCGTCCTTAATGATCTCCTTCAAAAGCACGAATTGTTCAAATTATGATAGCCTTTCTCCTCTCGATAAACTGAATATCTCGTTGGCCAGAGTGAAAAATGACTCTTGGAATATCTTCTCTTTACGATAAACTGAATCTCTCGTTAGCCTGAACAGTGACTCTTGGAATATAAGTAGAAAAATATGACTTACAATATTTTGCTGCTTCAGCTTCTGTCAGATACACCAACTCCACAAAAACTCACTAACATTCAACACTACTGCTTGCTACCTCTCGGGAACCGCCAGAGAACAATCACTGTTCGTCTTACAGACTTGGAAAACCAAATGATTATCTTTTCTCTCTCCAAAATCTAGCTAAACTTTCATTCCTACATACCTATCCCACCTTTTTCAATCTCCGCCAATCAAAGCTCGTCACCATTCTCCCATTTTTTCATTTCGATAACAAACAAATTTTTACCTATAATTATAAAATTTCCTAAAACTTATTTACAAATAATATTTTTCTACGATTCTTAAAAACTAACAAAAACCTATCTTTATAAAATCTATTCTATTGTCATTAATCACTGCATTAATGTATTTGGAAAACCCGGTTCAATTGTCTTTGGATTTCACTTAAAATTATGCGGGTCACTCAAATATTATAACAAAGAAAATAATTTATGCATAGCTTACATTTTGCTTAATACAGGTAATCCAAAAATTTAAAGACTTTCCTTCTTCGAAATGTTTGTTGGGTATTATCCTACTTATCTGAATTATTTTAATGTTTTTGAACTTTGAAATATTTTAAACAAACCAATATTTTTCTCAATTTTACATATCATAACAATATATATATATATATATATATATATATATATATATATATATATATAAAGGTTCTTGAACTCCTAAGTGGAACATATCGCTTCAGTAAAAACGCGCCGTCGGGTTCTATTTTGCGCTAAGGCATAGATTTTATTGCTGTAGTATTATTTGGTTTGCTATAATTACGTTGTATTCGTTTTGTTTATTTCATTAATTACCATTAATTATTCGTTTTTGTATTTTTTTTTGAGTTCATATATAATCAAAATATCTTTAGAATAAGCCACAATTAAAGATAAAAAAATACGTTTAATATATTTATTATATTATATTTTATTATATTTATTATATTTATCTTTAGAATATTATAACCAAGAAGATATTATAAATTTTCTAATCCTGGCCTGAATCGCCTGACCTAATTATAAAACTACAATAAAATATGAACATTTCTTTTCAGATCTCACCTGTTCAAATACCGTCTCCAGAAAAAGATCTGAGAATGTCTACTAAGAGAAGTTCGATAAAAGCATGTTTCACTGGTAATATAATAACTTTAAAAATTATAAGTTTATATCCACTGGAAAGCCATTCGTGGCTCTTTAAGCCTTATACTTGGTTTTGTTTGATTGTGTTTATGGTACCGATTCCTGTACTATCAATTTACAATATTTGGATAGCAGATCCTGTCGAGCGGATTAAAAAAATGCAAAATATATTTCTTGTTATGGAACTTACAGCACAAATTTTTAAATTCTTGCCTTTTAAAATGCATCCTGAAGGTGTTAAAAAAAGTTTAGAAATGTGGGATAGTGACATATTTAATTCATACTCCAAAGAAGATGAGAAAATTGTGACAAACGCCATGAGGAATTATAAAATTCTTTTTAATGTAACTCTTTATGGTAGTTTACTCAGCTTTAGTTTTTATATTTTGTCGGTTACTTTTAGTCCGATAAGAGTAATGCCAATAGACATATGGTTGCCATTTGATGCTCTTAATAACACTCTTATTTATACAGCTCTCTGCATATTTGTTTATGTGTGTAAGTATGAATTTATTACAAACATTTTTTCACTGCTTAAACAATATGAAACAATATAATATGTAGGATTTTTTATATTTTGAAACTCAAAATCTAGCAATTCACTATTTTCCATATAATTGTAAATAATTGTGAACTCTAAAATATTAAACGTGAGAAAGCAAGAGTAGAGTATTAATGACCCAGAAATTAACGAAGTTATCAATGGTTGAATAATTATATCGTTACACACAATTATATAATTAAAAAAAAAAAAGTTATTATTTATTATAAGTAAATTGGAATATCGTAGTTTGCTACAATTTTTTACAAGTTATTCAATATAAATATTTTTAAAAATGTTATCTTTCTGTGTTGTGTGCTCGCGTTGTATCATTAAGGGTATACAGATATACGTATACAAATAATAATAGTTTAATGTTTACGTCAAACGACTAGTGTAGATGAGCTGTGCTAGTTCAATTATGCTCCTTGTTTTAGACATTTACTTTGGGTGGGGCACATTTGAAATTCTTTTTATTTTTCTAGTACATATTAGCCTGTGATACCATTCGGTATCACAGGCTAATACTACAATTTTAAAGTGCTACATTAAAACTTACAACTAAAATTTAACAAGAGATAATGAATCAGAGGATAATTTTTGCAGATGAACAACATGGGAGTTTTGTATTGGAAGATCGTACACAAATACAATATTTATCATAACGTAAATTACTGAGAACTCACTAGAGTATAATAGACCAGCATTTCTGTGTCTACTTAACTTGAAGAAAGCATTTGACAGAGTAAGACTCAAAGATGTAATCCATCTTTTGTAAAATAGAGAAATGGAACAGAGAATAGATGGACAGCTTACAGAACCTATAGACACAGGCCGTGGCATAATACAGAAGGACATATTAAGTCCTAAGCTCTTCAATTAAATTTAATCAATGAAATCATCAAAAGTATCATCAAAGGAAGAGGATAGGTACAGAATTAAAAATAAAGAAGTTAACATTCTCTGCTACGCAAAGGACGTAATATTGATAGCTCAATACGAAGATAGTCTGCAAAGACTAGTGCAAAGAATTAACATAAGAGTAAAATAATTAAGTATGAAACTCTCAATACTGAGTGGCGTCAGCCAAGACCAAAAAATAAATCAAGAATAAATACAACCTTCAAAAACATCATAATATGTACTGACAAACGTTGACAAGATGTCAGATTACACTTTTTAGGTACCTTTACAAGATGACCTGGTATAGAAATATACTAGACAGGCAATACTACTATGGTTTAATTAAATGTTTATTTTAATGTCAAAAGTTTGCTTCTTATACTTTTTGTTCTTGTTCTGTCGGAAATTTGATACCATTAAGGCTATTTTACCTTTCTCTACTGTTTTTCAAACAGTTCGTTTATGGTATACTCCAACCCAGAAATTATTTTGCTATATCCTTCGATCTTGCAATGCGAATTGTATGCCAATAAAATTGGATTACTTCTAGCTTTTCCAGTCAAATTCGAAATATTATAGTAACAAGTGAAATATGACATGAATTAAGAACAGTTTGAATTTTATTGTGTAGTAAAGTCAATATATAATAATATACATATTTTTAGCTGTATATCAAGGTTGTGCTGCAAATGCAGCCGGTGATACCCTATTGATGGGAATTACGTACCAATCTGCCATTCAGATAATACTACTAAAAAGAAGATTTATGTGTTTAAATGAGAACGTTGATAATGAAATAAGAAGACACTGTGATGAATCTATGGATAAAATTTCCAAACAAAATCTAAGAGATGTACTAGTTTATCAATATATAGTTAAAAATACTGCTATTTATAACGAAATAAATGGGTAAGAGAATTTTATATATATAAGAAATTAGAATTTATGTTTTTACAAAACATTTACTTTTTTACAATTTTCTTCTCGAACATTATTTTTTTACGTTTCTAAGAACATTTTTTCGCAGAAATTATATCATTTTTGATAATAAAAGGTTTACTCCCAATATCAATTAATTTGAAATTATGAACTAATCTGTAAGTTAAGTAGGTGAGCACTGAAAAGATAAAATTTAAATGTTGTTTTGCAAACATATATTTATAACACCCGAATATACTAAAATGTACAGAAAACTATAGAAGAATTATTTGACTTATAAATAACCGAATAATTAATTTGCTAGTAAGTCAAATAAGTAATTGATCTATAATTTTGTTATTTCTGTTTTTAAATAATGTATCAATACCTATACCAAGAGCTAGTGAACCCTCCGTGTAATGGTATGTCTGTAAGACTATTTTTTTTTAGAAACTTTTAGTGATAAATCATAGCATGCTAAATACGGTAACCATCAGCTGGTACGCATAATTCCTGCATAGCATCAACCTCTATAGTTTTAAAAGTGTAGATAAAATTAAAAAAAAACTTGTAGTACATTTGAATTTCTTTACGATTTTGTTCATTCATTATATGGGTTTAAAAAATTGACAGGTGTTTACGATGAGCATACGTACGTGGCAGGTCTTTACGGAATAGACGAAGGCATCCTTCTAAATGGTGAAAGAGTAAACAATGTTAGATATGCGACGACACCATGGTGATAGCAGATAGTTTAGAGGGACTTCAGAGGCTAATGGACAGAATAAACGAGTACAGTCAACAGTACGGACTAAACATTAATACCCACAAAACGAAACAAATGATTATCGGCAAGGAGAATATAAATGCGCAGATAGAGCGAGTAAAACAGTATTGTTACCTGGGAACTATTATTAAGGCTGTTTTATCGGTGCACCAAAATTTTTTCTCTGTTATTTACCGACGAAATGTCTCGAAATTTGGACATGTTATACGAAATTATGTTGCCTTTAAACTGATGGTTTTACTTTTTTTATTTTTTTGAATTTTCTGTTGAAAAATTGGATTATACTGTTTAACGTTCTATTATAACCAAACTTTTCACGCCCATCAGTTGAAAGAGTTTTTTTTTCTGTAATCGTTGATTCTTTTTTCACCTTTCTGTGTCCAGTAATAATCGAGAAAAGCGTATTCAAACTTTGAAGAAAATTGCTAAAAAATACTGAAATCTAATAGTGAAACGTGTTCCTCATCATTGTCGCTGAGGTTGATCGTTATCGCATTAGTGACGTCAAATCACATGAGCGTACGGTACGGTCTTATTTTTATTTCTCCATGGGTACGGTCAGTTAGTTCGCTTGAATTAGAATCCATTTTAGTTCTTTTACTCTTGTATTTTCTTTATCAACTTGCTTAGTTTTTACAGTTTACAGTATTCTTATTTATTTTGAAAACATTGAAATTATTTAGTTTACGTGTATGTTAAGTAATATATTATTAGTTTAGTGGTATAAGTTAAAAGTTCTTTAGTTTACGCGTATTTTTAAGTATTACATTAGGTTAGTGATATAAGTTATAAGAGACAAGATAAAAAATGAGTCCCAGTAAACGTCCTATGTCAAGGAAAAGGAGAGCAATTGCACTGCTTTAGTATTTATTATTTATATTACAACCGTTTTTAAAAGCTTTTATTTAACTTCATGCAACTTTTCTAATATGGAGATTATCAAAGAAAAAATGGACGGATTGATAAGTACATTGACTTTTAAATGTCAAATGTGGAATATTGAAAAGGAGATAGCAACATAGGATTCTGGTAACAATTCACTGAACTTGAATGGTTCTGGTTATGCAGACATACAGCAGCAGCACGCTGCATTAAATATACCTGTGATTTCCTACAGGCAGTATGCAAAACATACGGAAACAGTTGCAGATATCATCGGCCAAACACTTTGTGATTCCTTAGAAGAGGCTGGACGGGAGGAATTAGCTTTAGCCAAAGAAATTGGTGAAGTACATTCCGACGGAAATGAGTTAATAACCGTTACAGCTGATGGTGCTTGGTCAAAAAGATCGTATAAAGTAAACTACGATGCTTCTTCAGGTGTAGTACCTGACGTTGTAAAATTTATTAAATTAGTACGCCTTTGATGGATAGGACATGTAATTAGGCGAGATGAAGATGAAACGATCAGAAAAATTTTCGACCGAAGAGGACCAGTGGGAAGACGATCCAGAGGAAGACCAAAACTTAGGTATCAAGATAACATAGAGGATGATCTAAAATCCATCAGAGTTAAAGCATGGAGAAAGTTGCCAGAGGCAGGGGCGAATGGAAGATTGTTCTGAAGAAGCCTTTGGCTCATGACGAGCTGAAATGCCACTGATATGATGAAATAACTATCCACGATTTGTGTTTTATTCATCAATTGGATACTTTTCTTATGTAACTGCAACCTATAAATATATTAAAATAATGTATATTCCATTCAGAGAACTTTTTCCTCGCAGTGCGTCGCCTCGAAATACTTGCCAGATAAATACATTTACTATTATGATGGTTTCGCGGGTACCAATTTTTTATAGATAAATAAAAATATTTTTTGTTTAATTTTTATTACGCTAATATCAGTTTTCTCTAACAAATATTAACAAAATATTAATTATATATTAATATTAATATAACAAAATTTAAATTTATTATAAATAAACACCATGGTGTTTTTTGCAGTCACGTTTCACAAATTTTTATTTAATACTATGTTTAGCTAAGACATATAAATTAAAAATGTGATTATTTCTTTTTAAAACATTATCTACGATAATTAATCTAAAAAAAAGTATTCCGACAAAACTAATTTGAATGGAGAATAATGCATTTATTTTAAACAACCCGTGGGCCGGCGCCACTGAATAAACATCCAAACTATTAGAACGCTATTAGGAAGTCACGTAGGGTCTGACATAGCAGTGTAGAAAAGTAAGTGATACGCCCACTTCAAATCGCAGTATGCTATAACTGCGAAAACAGCCTTAACGAACAGTGGAGCAATTTACAGGAAATAAGGTGCCGCATAGGAAAGGCAAAAACGGTCTTTAACAAAATGAGCGCCATCTTCAAAAGTCACAACATATCCCTTGATACAAAAATGAGACATTTGAGATGCTATATTTTCTCTGTGTTGTTGTACAAGGCGGAGGCATGGACGCTTACAGACGCCACTATTAAAAAACTTGAAGCATTTGAGATGTGGCTTTATAGAAGAATGCTGAGAATATCATGGACAGCAAGGATCACGAACAAGGAAGTTCTAGGAAAAATGAAGAAGGAACCAGAGATTGTGTTTACGATCAAACGCATAAAATTGCAATATCTGGGACACGTTATGAGAAATCTGCACCGTTACTCCCTGCTACAGTCTATATTGCAAGGTAAAGTCAAAGGTAAGCGAGGACCCGGTAGAAGGAGAATATCATGGCTGCGGAATTTAAGAACATGGTTTAAGAAAACCTCAACAGAGCTGTTTCGAGCCGCAGCGAGCAAGGTTATGATTGCCAATATGATTTCCAACATCCGAAATGGATAGGAACCAGAAGAAGAAGAAGACGTGGCAAATCAGTGCGATAAACTTTAGGGAGTGAGTCTTGGAGAAAATGAGGTTTTTGAGTGGACTGTATTATGTTGAGTGTCTATTGTACGTAAAGAATACAAGTAACCTGTAACTAACATTTATTTCTCTACGTATTATACTTAACACAAACACAATATACAACGAGTACAATATGTCACAATATACGTGGTTACACAAAGTTGTTATGTTTCACAATCGCGGAGACAACTTTTCTTATCGCTAAACATTTGAGAGAGAGACACACGCTCTGAGAATCACAACTACCAAAATCACAAAATCCCGTTACTTCACGTTCTCCAAACACTCCCAAAACCACTATAAAGACATGGATGAGTGCTTATATGTTTTACTGATAAAAATTAAGCAAAATATATTGGTACTTATATATGGTATATATGGTATATATGACATACACACAGTATATATAACAGACACACATACGAACATAGTGTAATAGACTGTACATAGAAACAATAATTGTATACAAAAATATATTATTATACATATACATTTATTTTATACCTACAAAAGATGACAGGAATAATCATTTATCAACAAAATTACGCAATTTTATTCGCTCTATTTCGTTTATACAATAAAACTTGCAAACTTAACTTGAAATTATACATGTATTTAATAAAACATAAAATTATTTCAGGTACGTAAAGGAGATTGAAAAGCTTTATTCATTGACATTTTTTTCACAACTGCTTGTAAGTACTGTGGTTATATGTCTATCCATTTTTCAGCTTATTAAGGTAAGAAATTCTTTTGAAATATAAGGTTTAAGTTAATTTTTTTTTGTTATTTATTCTTTATTTTTAAATTTGTAATTAGCATATTATTTAAAATAATAATTGTATCAAACCCAAATCCCAATTTTCCTATTTAATGCTTTTTTTTATCATTCTGCCCTCTAGCATATTAGAGCAAGCAGCCTTCATTAACTCTCTGTTTTTTTTATAATGAGATTGGACAGAACATGTATTTTTTACTTTGATATTAGAAGGACATATGTGTAATTTTTGATCGATTTTCAAAATAACTTTCTTCTCGAATGCAACTAAATTACTTTCTTGTAACCGTACAAATAGATAATTGATGTGATCTGAATACTACATGCCTGTTGGGAGCTTGTTTAATAATTTTATCCCCACGTTTATAAAATGATTAATCAGTCTCAGGTTGTATAGCTGCTGAATTTCTGAGAAAAAGGTAATTAGCTATGTACTTAAGGTACCAGTGACACCACTTCCTAAAATAATTAAATCTAGCCCACAATATAACAGGGAAAAGTGATTTTAATACATTCCTTCCGTGGTTGTGTGGATGCGTGTGTGATAAACTTATTTTTTCTTCAAACGTTAAATAATGATGACATTACTTATCTAACTTGATAATATATCCTGTCAAAGTTTGATGTCTCCGCCGGCAGCAGTTTTTTTTCCTATTTCTTTACGGCGGAGGGAAAAATGTTGTCATGGCAACAATATGAAACATGTCACAAAGCAACAATACAAATGTCATTAACAACAATTAAACATCATTTTTATTTATAGTAATATTAAAAGTACAATTAGTTAATGAGGCATTTTCAAAATTGAAACCGTGCAAAAATGTTCCCGACTCTTGATACGCATTGGTAATTGTTGATGATACTGATGGTCGAGAACAACTTTCAGCAATCATTCCCGATGTTGGCGAATCATGAGGGTTTAAAATTTTTTGAGCATTATCGTTCTTATCGGACTTAATTTCGGCTTAATTAGCCGCGGACTTAATTTCGTTTAGGTTTTCCATTTTCGCACTAAATTTGCGCTTGCGGTTGCAACAACAATAAGCTGTCTTTAATAATTGCAAACAACTGTCAAACAACTGTAACCAGGGAGACGCAAATCCCACCGACGACTTAATTATTTTAATTTCTAACATCTAGACGACTTTGATAGTTGTCACAGTTAATTTCGAGTAAAAATAGCGCATGAATTGTACTATTTATGGTTGAAAATTGCTACGTTTGAAGAAAAAATAGTATACTTTATTCGGCAAAGAAGCGACTTTTCTTGACTTGCCCTCTATTACGCGCCTCACTTCGTTCGGCGCGTAATATCGGGCGCGTCAAGAAAAGTCATGCTTCTCCGCCTCATAAAGTAATATACTATTCCACGGAAATAAAATAAAAATAATATTAAAATCAAATAAAACGTAGAAAAAACTGTTAATAGTATTTTATTTTCTTAAAACGTAATTAATTTTTGAAGGGAAGGACAGGTATTTGTATGTATCGCGGAGCGATGCAAATTGTGACTTATTGATTACTAAAACTAAACACACACTTTTTTTTACAAGCGTCTATTCATACCTTGTTACAATTCGTCTTCGATGCTCGCGCATCCATGTAATGTCAAATATTTTATAAGGTTATACCAGATTTGATTTGTTAATATTTTACAAGCTACTTAATGATTTCATTCGTTTAATTCAGAGTCAGAATGATAATTATAGAAAGTATCCGATTAAAAATATTGCCTAGATTTTACTATACTACGTTCCACGTTTAGAAAATAACATTGCGGAGATAGGCCCATGTATTTCTTATGGACGATAGCAACGCGGCGTTGCCACGACACACACAAGCACAATTTAGGGTTGTATAATTTGTATTTTTGTTTCCACAAACATGAATTAAATTAATGTTTTTTAACGTAATTGACCAAAAGTGCCCATTCGAAACAAGAGATGAAAAATAGGGAAAATGATTTTAATTAGATAAATAGTATTTACAAAAGATTATTTTATTTTATCTTATTTTAATTATAGTAACGACAGTTTATTTGTTTTTCGGTGAGAATACGATATGCCATGAATCATAGAAATCAGTAGAAAATATTGACCGCTTGGAATGCGTATATCTAATTACTAATTGCAACTTAAAATAATACGATGTGCGTATGTCAGCTATTTTATGTCGTTCTCTGACTACATAATGATAATAAGGCTTTTATTTAGTAGTTATTCTGACTTTACAGTTAAGTGTTAATTAAAAATGAAAATTCAAAAATTAAGCAAAGGGAATATCTTGGACATCCGTGCAAAAGAGAGTGTCTGAGAGTTTTGGCAACACTGATCTCCATAAGCGTAATGTTATTTTCTTAACTTGAAACAAAGAATAGAAAAGTTCAATTGCGATTTCTGCAAGTGGTGTGGTTCTTAAGTAATTGTACAAAAAGTAGCTGTAGATTCTCCACTTTAAAATATTACGCCAAATTGCTTCAATAAAATGTTGATATTAAGAAAGATACAGGGTGAATGAAATTTATAATTTTAATTTTCGCTATAACTTTCATGTTTGTGAACATTTATGTATCAAAATTTATAACTGGTAGGTACTATTGAATATCAGAAATTATAATTTGATGCATATTTTAATGTAGCTGATACAGGGCGCCACATATGTTGCATATATTTGCACTTAACTTTTTTGATCTTTAAGTTACCGGTGTTTGTGATAAAAAATATTAAAGATACATTATTTTAACAAAAAAAAGTATACTTGTTAATAACTTCAAAACTCAACAGTTTTCGAGATAATCGCATTTTACACATCAACTACATAATTCAGATTTAACGCAATTACTCCAGGCAACGAAAGAAAATTAGACAAAAACATCAATACTTCTGAATTTTGGTGTAAAATGCCTTTAATAAAGTTAATAGTTAACGAAATATTAAATAAAATAAATATATCAGAAAGAAGTTAATAGTAGGATTTGACAAAATAACAGAATAGTTGGATTTTACATCAAATATTTTACGTTTTGTATTAAGTTAAAGTCATAATCAAAATATTTTAATTACAAACCAAATTAAGAAATAGTTAAACTAAATAACATTAAACTTTTTGTCGAAGTAAGTTCTTCATTTGTCAATACATTCCATAAAAGAACGTCTCAACTAAATTCTTAACTTTACTTTAACAATAAATTTGTTTATTAAAATTAAACTTTAACAATAAATTTTATTTACAATAATTACAAAACACAAAAACGAATTAAATCATATATCAGAACATTATCTAGGAATAAATCCTATGAATATGAACAACAAACTTCTGACAGGCATAACCTAGTACTAGTAAAATATTTGACATTACATGGATGCGCGAACATCGAAGACGAATTGTAACAAGGTATGAATAGACGCTTGTCTTTTTTTTTTTAAGCAAGACTATAAACTTTAATATTACTGGCCTGGTTTCCTGTGATATTATTGCATAATATATCATATTTCGTTTCCATTAATGAAAAATGCAACGTATCCAAATGTATAATTGTCCAGCATATATGTAGAAAACAAACATATTAAGAAACACGTTTCAATTTTTATGTCATTTTTATTTCACATGTGTATAACCAATTGTAAATTTTAATATGAGGTCTGCTATAATCTGCTATATTTAATTTTTGAATAGAAAAGTTAAAATTATTCGTAATTACCTTGTCGCTACATAATTTTTCACCACCAAACCAACCTTAAGGGGAGCGATTCTGCTGATTTAAGTTTCAAGCTAGCAGAATTCGGAAAAAAAACTTTTTGCCTATGGCATATTTTTCACCCATTTTTCACTAATTTATTACCACCCTAATAATTTTTCACTACCATACCACCCATAATGGGAGCGATTCTGCTGACTGAATGTTCAAGCTAGCAGAATTCAGAAAAAAATCTTTTTGCCAATGGCATGTTCTTTTACACATTTTTCACAAATTTATTACCACCCTAATAATTTTTCACCAAAAAAACACCCTTAAGGGGAGCGATTTTACTTGCTTACGGTAAAAACTAGTAGAATTCCAAACAAAATATTTATGATATACCACAGTGCTCTGCTAGGTTTTATAAGTTTATTACCACCTTATTAATTTTTTAGCGGTTAACTACCACTTATGGAAAGTCATAATTCTCTTAGATTAAAATTTAAGGGCAGTAAAAGCGATATATTAATATCGGGTAGACGTGTTTATCGATAAAGTCATTAAGCTCCCAGTTTTTGTGACAATTAGAATATTTTAATTTTGTCGCGTTTAAAAATATTTATATATTGTAGTAAAATAGTGAGAAAAAAGTGAAAATATTCTTTCCTGATGGGAGAGAATACTAATAAGACTCCAATGCGCGAACTAAATACGTCTGAAGTTGTTAATGTGAGTGAACAAGATATGGATACAGGAATTAATACCACCGTTTCTCCTGCTACAAGGGAAGTACAATTTTTTAATATTAATTCTAATAATTACGACTTTCAAAATTGTTGTGTATATGTTGAAAAGACCAATGATCAGAATATAGGCCGATTGCACCCTATGGTTGTGGGTGATATTTTACATCAAAAATTAAAGATCAAGAATATTAAGGAAATTAAAAGTATAGGAAGAAACCATTTTAAAGTAATCCTCACATCTATTTTGGATGCAAATAAATTAGTCAGTAATAGTCATTTAAAAGACGATAATTTAAAGGCGTACATTCTCAATCACCTCTTAGACATCAAAGGGCTGATACGTGATGTCGATACCAAATATAACATTGAATATTTGAAAAAATATATGACCTCCAGTTCACAAATTATTGATATTAAAAGAATGCACAGGAAAATAGAAAAGGATGGAAATACAGAATATGTACCTAGACGTAATGTTATAATTACATTTGAAGGCAATTGTTTGCCAAACTATGTTGTAATTAATTATGTATATTTTCAAGTTGAAAAATTGTTAGGTAAAGTTACACAATGTTATAAATGCATCAAATTTGGACACATTTCTAGACAATGTAAAGGTACACAGGAATACTGCATACGATGTGGAGAAATTAAAACTGATACACATACATGTGATGAAAAAAAAAATGTATTGATACACTGTAAAAGTGATAAGATATATCGATTTCTATAAAACTGTCCTTTTTCGAACTTAAAAGAAAATAAAAAATATCATGATTGAACATAAAATTTCATATTTGGAGGCCAAAAATTTGAACGATTCTTCTTTTTCTGGTCTTATTTGTAAGAACAGATTTGAAATATTGTCAAATTCAGATAAAGAATTTCCAAAATTAACTAACACATCTGAAGTTAATATACCTGCTTATTCCAACCTATTGAGGTCTCATTTACAGAAAACCAAAAATATTAGTCAAATGTAGTAAATCAAGCACTGATTATAGGGAAAATAAAAAAAGAAAAGTATCATCTTTAACTTCCGAATATCCAACATCTCCTCACATCCCTTTCAGATTTGGACCATCTCAATCTTTACCACCCTTAAACAAGGAAAGTTTTTCAAATGTAGACAATGATAAAAATAAATTAGTAGATTCTTTAGTAATTCTTTTCTCAGATTTTATTCAAAATATTAATTGTTTAGAAGAGGCAAAAACACTTGATATCAATATGTTAGCCAAAGGTATTAATAATGTTCTAGATAATATTTTTAAAAACTAACTAGTCTAATTACTTTCAAAGCTAAACTCAAAATAATACAATGGAATGCTCGATCAGCTGTTGCTAACAAAAACAGCCTTCTCAACTTTTTAATAACCGAAGATATTGCTATAGCTTTAATAAGTGAAACCTGGTTTAAACGGGATGTTGTTTATAGTTATAGAGGTTATAATGTAATACGCGAAGATCGGGATGACGGCTATTCCGGAGTTGCTATTTTAATTAAAACTGGTATTCCCTTTGAAAACATAAAAATAAAAAAAATTATAATAAAGAATTGCTTGCTTTTGGTATTAAAATCAACTATAACAAAAGTCATTTAACTTTACTCTCTGTATATAGGTGTCCGAAAGCTAAAACTAACACCGAAGATTGGGATAAGTTATTTTCTCAATTAAAACACCCTTGTATTATTGGAGGAGATATGAACGCACATAATTCTCTGTGGGCTCATCTAAAAATGATAAAACAGGCCATCAAATTGTGGAGACAATTCAGAATCTAGATTATGTGGTAATGAATAATGGACAACCAACTTGCCAAACGAGACCAGGAAACACAGATTCCATGATTAATGTCACATTTTGATTACCTTCTCTCTTTGATAAAATTTCGTGGTCTGTAGATACTGATACTTTGGGATCAAATCACTTCGTTATAAGGGTTGTAATCGATAACTTGGTAACTGATGAGAATATCATTTATCCCAGCAGTAAGTGGAACATTAAAAAAGCCAATTGGTCATTATACTCTCAGTTTATTGAAATCTTATTAACTAACAACCCTCAGGCCTACTCAGACAAGCAAGAAAAATATCATTTCCTTATTGACTGTATTAATGAAGTTTCTGAACAATCAATTTGTCAATATAAATTAACTAAATGTAAACGTACTCTCCCTCCATGGTGGGATTCGGAATGTGATGAATCAGTTGCGGAAAGAAAGAAAGCATTAGTAAACTACAAAAAATATCCTTCTCTTGAAACTTTTTGTAAATGCAAAGAAGTGAATGCTCGTGTCAAAAAATTCCTGAAATTAAAGGCCAAACAAAGTTGGGTTAAATGATGTTGCAGTCAAATATCTATGATACAAAATTTGCCAGATAACGCAAAATAATTACTTTTAAATATATTTAACCAGATAATTATTGAGGATAAAGGCATAATCGATTTTAAGCGTATTATAGTTGTCCCTATTCCCAAACCGGAAAAAAACCCTAAATTAGCTGAAGCTTACCGATCTATATCATTATTATCATGTATATTGAAGACTCTTGAACGGATGATTAAAATTAGGTTAGATTGGTAGCTAAGGCTCTTATTTTTAGACATCGAAGGTGCTTAAGACTCGGTATCTCAATTCTCCAAGAAAAAATGCTAAATTTTGTCATATTCCAGCACAGTTTGCTTCTAACGTTGTGAACCTGTACACAAGTAGGATATTTATTTAAAAGACAATCATACTCTCATAGGACCTAGACTTAATAACAAAGGATTACCTCAGGGCTCCGTTTTGAGTCTTATTTTGTTTAACATTTACAAAGCAGATCTACACAACATGACTATTACTAATATTGCATTTAATATTGTACAATATTCTGACGATTTCTGTTTGTATACAGAACACAAAAAATATCAGCAATCCATTGAAAACCTGAATGAAGTGTACCGATTCCATCACAAATTCTTTATAAAAAATGGTTTCGAATTATCCTGCAGTAAATCACAAGTTTGTTTATTTACCAGACATAACTTTCCTAATGCCAGTACAATCAATTTAGGTGGGCACCAATTTTCCCTTAAAAACACAATAAAATATCTGGGAATGATACTCGACCAGAAATTGACCTGGAAGTTACATATTGATGACATGTTGAACAGATACAATA